ACATAATAGCATCTCCACTACAGTAGACTCCAAGGGATCCTGAACTTCATCACTTGCAGCTCTCTGCTGTGGTCTAAGAGCAATCTTGTCTATACAGGAAACTGCATGGGTTCAAACCAGGTCAGCTTTGCAATACTGCTGCCATGTAAATAGCATTGTGAAATAGTCCTGAAGCTGCTTCTGACACTATCAGCTGTAGTGTGGAGTAATTCTGGCAACTTAACTCCTTGTAGCAAATGTACCAGTGTAAATTCTAAGGGCAGGTTTGCCAACCTCTCTTCCACAAAAGGGAGTTCTCAGTCTCAGTCACAGTTATCTCTCTCAGCTTTGTACTTATGGCAGTTCTTCAATCCCACTTTGGATCCCAGAAAAAGGCACATCTACTGTGCCCCTATGAACTACAGGCTGACTTCTTTGTCAACTTGGTTTTTGGTTTTTTTTGATAGTACTGAACTAGGGCCTTGTACTTGCTAGGGAGACACTTTACCACTTCAGTATAATCCCAGCCCTTTTGCTTTAGTTATTTTCCTAATATGGTCTCACATTTAGGTCCAGATCAGTCTCCTTCAATTTACTCATCCCATGCTACTGGGATAGTAGGTACCATCCACTATGCCTAGATTTTACTATTTGACATGTGGTCTCATGAACATTTTGCCCAGGCTCACATCAAACTGTGATCCTTCTGATCTCTGCCTCCAGTAGCTGGGGTTAGAGGCACACAGCACAGCATCTGTCTCTCATCTCATCATCTTGGTCTTACTTGCATCCTGAAAGAGAGGTATAAACTGGCAATAGCCCTTCTCAACTGAAGTCTAGGGCAGGCCTGCTCACCTAGCAACACACAGAGAAAAATACCATCTGTGATTGTATTTTAAACTTTCATATCTATTATTTGTAACCATTATTCTTATTGTTAAAAGATCTCTTTTTGTTGATATTTTAACAGATGTTTTCACAAGTTTGTCTGAATTGACTGTGAAAACTATTTTCCCCTATAAAGTACAACCGCTGATGATCCTACTAGATATTTTAGTCCAGTTTTTTTTTAATCAGTTAGCCTGAATATCTAAAAAATCACCCCTTGACAATAAAGTCACTTGTCAGACAAATGTTGTTTAATTCTTCTGATCAAGTTACAGTTTTAAAATTTACCATTTATAGCAAATGTGACTTAGAGACTACTATCACACATCAATGTGTTTACATTATTTCAGACAGGAAACTTCAGGTTGGGTCCCTTCTGACAGAGCAATATAGCATGAATTAACATTCCTTCAAAATGCAAGGCATGATGCTTTTCTATTCACTATTATTTTAACATAAATAAATCTATTCTGATACCTAAAGTCAGACCATTTTCATGCACTGTATTTTGTGAGCTTTTTGCTTCCATGGACATTAATGATTTGCATTCTCTTATTTTATAATCATTACAGTTGAGGGGCTACCATTAATTTGAACTGGTTCTTGACTGTGCACTAGATATAGTCAATCTGTGGATTTTTAAATTTTGATCATTAAGGGCCATTAATAACAGCTTGGAATCTAATCACAGCAGCTCAGCTAGTCATTACATTTTCTATCCTATCTTCCAGCTTAGGAAGACTTTGTGACTAAATTTTACCTGAGAATTTGTTTGGAAATTCTGTGTGTCCTTTTCACTCTTGACACAAAAGAAGTAGCTGACAGCTCCTCTCCATTACTCTGCACCCTAATGCATATGTTGGAAATGAAAAGGCCTGTCTGGCAGTACAAATGTGAAAATGAAACACCCAAACTGAAGATCACAGAAGCACCTGAACAGCCATGAAAAAGTGATATCTCAATTTGAAATGATGAAAATAAAATTCTAGTTTAAGAAGAATATCTCAATTTATATCAAAAATAGTAATTATAATCTAATGTTTTCAATGCTCGTATTTCTTACTGTTCAAAAAAGGAAGATAGTCTAAGTATTTACAGAAGAAATAGTGTGGCAAGACCACTTTTTGGTTGTTGAACCAAACTCTGAATGGCAGGCAGAATGGTTTAGCTTAATTAGAAGGTTACATGGAATAGGAGGTGATCCCCAGGGAAAAGAATAGTTAGTACTTAAAGAGCATTATTGGTTCTGACAATAGAATATATTTAAGCGGTAGTAAGCATCTGTTTCAAATAAGGTAAATTGCCTAATCTTAAAAATTCTTAATTCATCTTTCTGACTTTTTAATGCATCTATTAAAGGTAAGAATTATATTTAACCTCCATCCAAACACTACTTTTGTCTAATAAAAATTTACTTAATAAATATCCATATGATTAGCATCAGCAAATAATAAATCTTTACAGAAAAATCTTAAAACACTCTTAGTTTTTAAAAAACTTGAAAGTACCAGATTAGACTTTGTACTTTTCTGGATTTAATACTTGTAAGTTTACATGAGAGCAAAATACAGTGAAAATGCATTGTTGTGGTCTTAAATAATATCTTGATAATATATTTATTAGCTGCTGATTTGTGGCATTCTTACAAAAATAATTACAGCAATTTTTGGTGGACATATCTACTTTTCTTTTTCTCTTTCTTTATATTTGACCTTGATACATAAAAATTATGTAGTTATAAATAGGATACTCTGTACATTTTTTGATACATGTACTCATTGTGCAATGCTACAATCAAGGGAAATTCTCCTCCCCAATCATTTATCAGTTGTGGTGAATGTGTTCAAAGTCCTTTCTTGTTTTTATTATTTGAATAACAGTAAAACGTAATTTCCTGTAGTCATCCTACTAGGCAATGACAGACCAGAATGTCTTACTTTTAATTAGTAGAACTTGCACCTATTATCCATCCTCACATTATCCTTCTCTGACCTCCATTATTTCCATCCTCTGTTCACCTCCACACCCCTCTCACACCTGTGACATTCATAGGTAGTAGGTGGACATAAGAGGTAGCCACAAAAGGAAGATGGGAAGAAATCATTTTAATTCAACTTCCCAACTCCACTAACTTCTATTTATGATCAGGTAGCCAGAGCCCAGAGGCTATCACACGATACTATAAAGTTAGCCACTATCCTCAAGTTTAATTCATTCTTTATCCAACAGTAATACACACGTTACACATCAGACCTAAGAGCTGGAAAAAGCAAAGGTAAGGGATTTCAAATAAAAATACTCTATCAATTAGAGTGGTAATTAGTAGTTTACTCAATGTCTCTCTTAAAACAATGATCCAAACCCAAAGATAAGAGTTTCTTAATAAATATTCTAACCTTAAAACCTGACCCTGTTCTCACTCTAGGGACAATTGGCTTTCAGTCTGTTGAAAGTGTAATAGTTGCCTAATATTCTTTACTGTTGCTTTTACTCAATCTTTGCATCATGTTTGAATTATTCTTTCAGATGTATTAACCAAGGTAATTTTCAAGCCCATCTTTTTCTACTTAAAACATCATGCATTTAAAAATGCATCATACTAGCATATTTGCAATTTCTAAAACTAAATCTCAATCAAGAGAATTTTATACACTTTGAAGATGATATTTAAAGTAATTTATTATTATGTCTAGAACATTTCAGTCTACAAAAACAATATATTTAATATTCCTTTTCCCAGTCACAGCAAATCCTTAGAATGCCCACATTTTCTACTCACAGTAGCAAACTTGACAGTCGTGTCTATTTGTTTTGCAGCTTGTGTTTTGATCTCTGGCCAGACTTACCAGAGATTGTCTAGTTTTATTGTTCAGGATTATCTCTTCTTTAAGATAAATCAATCCCTTTTGGCTTTCAAATTATTGACCACATGAAGTGGATGTGATCTACCTCACATCATAAGCAATGAGATAAGATCCACCTCTGCAAGAGTGAAAATTGCAATATTTTCTATGCACACCTATGAACATGCACACAGATACACAGGTTAAGACATATTTAGTATGAAACTGTAAGTGGGTACTGCATTGTGACTCAGGACTGCTTATACCTTTGGGACTATTCCAGTGAAAAAACCAATTCAATGTGTTAATAATATATCCAAATTTTCTGAACAATATGCTATGTGTTGCATATAAAATGTAGAGACTATCAAAAGAAACAATCTAGGGCTAGAGATAAGGAAAAATACAGTAGGAAAAGACAATCACACTTCTATTACATGCATGAGCAAAAAAAAATCTCAATGGAAACAACTGAGTGGAAATGAGTTCAGGGAAAATGGAGCAATTCATGAAGAAGTAACAATTTAGGAAAATCACAGAGACAATGTGTGGATGATGCTGCTTTCATATAATAAACATGTAATTCAAATGCACACATTCTAGTTAGAATTGTTTTCTGAGATTTTTTTAGACATAAAGTCTTAGAGTTACTTTTCTCCCCACTATAAAATGTAAAGAAAATTTATGCCCATGGATTTTATAAGTATTACATTGAAATCAAAATACAATTTTAAATTGAATAATATTTCATAATACTTAGTTGCTTAATTTTATTTGTTAATAAAATTATCTCGTCATGCATAGAATCAAAACTGAAAAAGACATTGTAAATTACAACAAAATCATAGCTTAAATATTAACTGCATTCATCTAAAAAATTAAGTTGGCATGAAGCATGAAATAAATTTTGAATTTATAGTAATAAAAGTATTTTGGAAGTGAGGAGAAATGCATGAAATCTTAAATAAATGAATATTACTATATTGAAAGTGGATTCAGATGTTGAGATTTGGCCATTCAAATAAATACCAAAATTTAAAATACATGGTTCATCATCACACACATGCAAATATTATAATTCTTAGAAAGATAACAATGACTAAAATTTTTCACATTCATATTAATAAAGAAAATTACACTTAATTATAATTATGGAGCACCTAGAAATTTTTTGTTTTCATAGAGAATCAGAAAAAAGAGCAAAATGTTCCATTCTTAGATTGTAGATAGTAAAACAAATACTGAGGAGTGTGAGATGAATGGTACTTCTGGTAAAACCATTCCCAGGGAATGAAACATGAAGAGATAAATGCAGAAGACAATGATTCCACAGTGAAGCAGTTTGACCTGCTGGGATTCTCTGACCTTCCAAACCTCCGAGGGTTCCTGTCTGGTATGTTCTCTATCATTTACATCATCATCCTATTTGGAAACACCCTCATAATCATAATAACAAGACTTGATCCTGCACTACAGAAACCCATGTATTTTTTCTTGGCAAATTTTTCTTCCCTGGAAATTTGTTATGTGTCAGTCACTGTCCCCAGGATTCTGGTCAACATGTGGACTCAGAATAGACGCATGACTCTGCTGAACTGTGCCACCCAGTTATGCTTTTTCCTCATACTGGCAACCACTGAAAGTTTCCTCCTGGCTGTGATGGCCTATGACCGCTACGTGGCCGTCTGTAACCCTCTGCACTATGCTCTCGTCATGAACCCAACAAAGTGTATTCAACTGGCTGCTGGCTCCTGGCTCAGTGGAATCCCAGTCCAGATAGGGCAAACCTGTCAAATATTCTCTCTGCATTTTTGTAATTCTAACCAAATTGATCATTTTTTCTGTGACATACCCCCTATTATTAAGCTAGCCTGTGGGGACACTTCTGTGCATGAGCTGTCTGTCTTTGTGGTATCTATGTTGTTTGCTGGATTACCTTTTATACTGATACTTGCTTCTTACAGCAAAATCATTTCCACCATTCTGAGGTTGCCCACAGCCACAGGACAGTGTAAGGCATTCTCCACGTGTTCTTCTCACCTGCTGGTTGTGATTTTATTTTATGGATCAGCAACTATTACCTACTTAAGACCAAAATCAAGTCATTCTGCAGGAACTGACAGATTGCTGTCTCTTTTCTACACAATTGTGACTCCCATGTTCAATCCAATGATATATAGTCTTAGGAACAAGGATGTGATTGCAGGGCTGAGAAGATTATTACTTAAAACATAGTGACATGTTTACATGGAATTTTTTAATTTGGTATATATACAATGATCAGAGAAGATTTCAAGTTACTACATTTCATTTTGACATGGTAATCAATTCTAAATTATCATGTATCTTTTTATATTTAAATATTGGCCTGAAATTTGCTCTGTTTGGCTAGGCAAATTCAACTAACCACAATTATGTATACTTATGAATAAAATTTCTGCAGTTTGCCTGTAAATAGATGGGTAGAATTCAAAATGTTTTGCCTTTTGATTTAAATTTAATTGAAACTTTGCAATCTAAATTTAGTAAATATATTTGATGACATTCTTCTTTGATTTTATAATACATAGAATAGAAATTGCCAATACTGGTTAACTAATAAATATTTGTTGAACAAACATTGGGTGACAAAGGAATGGCAAAATCTAATGATTTTTTTCTCTTTGGTAAGCATTGGATTATGTTTATTTCACTGTGCACTGTGTAGAATGTTTACATAATAGTATCCAAAAAGATTTAAGTGTGCATGTAACTCTCTTCGTAGTAACTTCTTATGATAGCTTATGGCAAATAGTACACTCCTACATTGCTCAAATTTATTTTTTGTATAGATTTTTTTCCATTTTTGCTAGTATAGTTTAAATGATTTTACTCCTAAATATTTCCTCTCTTTGTAAACTCTAATTAAAGCAGCTACTTGGATAAATAGTCATATTTATAAAAGAATATGTGGACCAAATGCAACGATGATTTAAGCTATTTTTGGACTGCCTGAATTCCACACAGTTGCAGTGAATTAGCTTATCTAATCTTTCATACTTTTACTTTTTCTAAAGTGTTTAAGATTACAATTTGTGAATTAGCATTATCAAGGAAATTGAGGATCAATCAAAAGAACCATAAATGACTGTCCATCCATCCAACATTATGCTATCAAATCAGTATCTCATCCTAAGGAATATGCTTTGGTTCATCTAGAAATTATTCCATATTGTAGCTTTAGGTAAGATTTTAAAATACTGTCTGAGACAATGTTATCTGGTATTCTGTGCACACTTACATTTCTCCTTTGCCAATGGTTTTCATTCATCTGCCATTCCACTGCATAATATGTCATATTTCTTTATATATATTTATGCATTATATTCATGAGCACATATACAAATCATTTGTTATTTAATGTTCTATATGTTTCAAGAATTTGGATATGGTGTGTGAAAAAGACCACACTAATGATAACTTTAAAAATAAGCAGTTTGTCTATGGTGGAAAAGTTTTTGTCTTTTATTATCTGAAATTTAGTAAAGCATGAATAACAATTGCATGGGTATAGTGGTGTCCTCCGAGGAATTCAGATAACTGAATTAGTCTTCCTTTAAATAAAGTACTAAATAGTTATGCATATTTTAACTACTTTTTTCCATAACATTTACATTTAGTAGATTGGTGATATGTTCTCCTTATTAATGCACAAGGTTATACGGTGAAATGTCCACTTAGGATGAAAAACAGGAATAATTTAAAAAGTCACGTTAGTGAAAAAATTAGATATAATCTGTTTTGGATATAGTTCCAAGAGGAATCTCTAGGTCTATGTCTTTTATACTTAAATTCATGAGGATAATCATACAATTTTTTTTTTACCTAAAATAATAGCAATCTTTTATTGTTTTTACATTTATTCATATGTGTATACATTGTTTGGACCACCTCTCCCCTTGTCCCCCCACCCCCTCACTTACAGACAAAACCTGTCCTGCCCTCTTGTTCTCCAATTCTGTAGAAGAGACAAAAAGAAATACTAGCATTTTTGCTAGTTTGATATAAAAACAGCTATTCAGAAAGATTCCTAGTGTTGCTTCCATGCACATGTGAATTACAACCCACATTGTTTCATCTCTACCAGACCTCTTCACTACTTCCTGTCACCTTCCTATAGTGCCTCTGCCAGTTTAAGATTACTATATTCACTCTTCTACAGTGAGCACATCAACCACATTCAAGTTTTAGGTTTCTTCCCTTTCCTTATTCTTCCCATACATGTTGTCCCCTTAGTGTGTGACCCATGTCCAATAATATTACTAGGAAAGAAACATTGTACAATGTCAATTGCCTGTCCAAGGAAACTTACTAATTCACACTGGGGATTATTTGCCATTTCATAAATATTATGCTTTGGATCTGATTTGTCATCCAAAGAATCATGGACTAAAGGCTTGGACACCAAAATGTTATATTATTGGTGCAACCTTCCTGAGGTGACACCTGGTAGAAAGAAACCAGACAAGTTGAACAGCCTGTAATGCTACATACACCCAACACTGTGATGTTCTCTTACGACTCTCATAAAAGCAGCAGAGATAGCTGACTCTGAATTGGAACCTTGAAAGTGTGAGTCAAAATAAGTATTTCCCCCTTTTAAGATATTTATTTCAAATATTTTGTCACAACAATGAAAAGTTGGTTCACACACTAAGGCAATGAATATAACTCTACAAATGTGTGCAACTCTCCTGGTAAGATATTCTTTGAAGTTAATATTTAAACTCATCCGTTAACATGAACACAGAATTTGTTTTACTGAAGTGACTTATCCAGCAACACACAGGTTGCTATCTAATGTCATAAGGAACATCAGTGAATAATTTCTCACTTACGGATCCATCATACGAAGACCATAAATATCAATCATCACATTTCATTGGTACATTGCAACAGGCAAGGGTCCCCAAAGATGCCCAGCTCCTCCTAATCCCTAAAAGCTCTACATAGGCCATTTTATATGACAAAGAGATTTTGTTATATGAGTAAAGTTTTAAATCTTAAAGTAGACTATTCAGGAAGGTCTATTCTTATCAGAAAAAGAGTTAGAAAGAATTACAGATTAGTCAGAAATAGAAGCATAGAAAATACTCAGCTCTCCTATTACTGGCTGTGATTATGTAATTTGTGTGTTAACATGCCTTTCTATAGCTAGATAGACATTTTGACAACATTGTGGTAACACATGTGAGGATGGTTTGGAAAACACCAACATTTAAGTTGACAAACTGAGTAAAACACTTTACTATTGCTGATGTGGGATACTCTTGTCCAGTCAGTTGAAAGCCTGCATAGAACAAGGAGTCTGAACCTCCCCTGAGCAGAGAAAACTTGCATGTTTGATTGTCTATAAACCAGAATCTCTCTTCAGATTTGAACTGAGAAATGAGCTTCTCCTGGGCCTCAAGCCTGTGAACTTTTGATTTTCTAATCTCCACAACAACATAAATGATAAAATTAATTTGCTAAGAACCTCCACAAATTTTGTTTTGTATATATATATATATATATATATATATATATATAAACACACATATATATACAAATATTTACATATAAGTATACATTATTTTTTAAAGCATATTTAAGCCTAAGTCAGTGTCTCTTGATTAGTGTGAATTTACCATCACCTTAAGGATCTTTGGCATATGCTACTTTTCTACAAGTCTTTCCATCTTTTTAAAATCACCAACATTCCCAACTTATATAGGAAACTCCATTGAGCTCATTCTTCAGTTTGTCTAAAGTAGCTTGACCATTTTCGATATTGATAAAACTAAGATGCATTCTTTGGCTTCTATGTGGCTTTTGAAATCATTTAAAATCAATAGTTACAATTTTAAATATTTGAATTATTTTCTTTCTTTTTCTTTTGGTACTAGAATTTGAACGCAGGGCCTCATGCTTGCGAGGTAGGTCCTCTTACTGCTTGAGCCACCCCACCAGCCCACATTTGAACTATTTTCAAAGAGTTCATTATCTGGAGTACTGTGTAGAACTTCAAAAGTCAATAAAAACTACTCTCTAATAACATGACAGTTCAAAAGTACACACTGAAGTCAACAGTAATATTGTTTCTGGTATGATAATTAATGTGTTTCTGGAAAAACCATTCAATGACAATAAGCCTGGTGACTGTTTTCTAGGTATCTCAGAAATAATCATGTTTAAGATGCTTCTATTTCTCTTATGGATAAAGATACTGACCATTTTTTTCATGTATTTATTGACCATCTGATTTCTCCATTTGGAAAGTGTCTGTTAAAGTCATATGCTTATTTACTGATTGGATTATTTATTCTTTTTAAAATACTTTATATATTCTGGATTTTAATTTCCTGACTGATGAGTAGGTTTCAAACAAATTTTCCTTTCCATAGTGTATGTCTTCTCTCTGTGAATTGTTTTCTTTGCTGTGTGCAAGCTTTTTGGATTTGCACAACCCTATTGGTCAATTTCTGCTACTATGGCATGGAAGGAAAATGGATGGAAATGGTGGTCACGTTATAAGAGAAGTAAACTAGACAAAGAAAAACAAGATCAAATGTTTTCCATCACATGTGGAATATAAGCAAAAAAGCATGAACGTAGATGAGATAAAGTCATTTTATAAGACTTTGTAATGATCTACAATAAGCCCAAGGGAATTAGAAGAGTACCAGTAGAAGGCATTAGAGGTATATTTATTAGTATTGTAAAAGGTGTAAATACCATCAAAGTACCTTATGTAAGTGCACGAAACTGTCATAATGACAATTTCATAAGTACCTTATGTAAGTGCATACAAAACTGACATTTTGTATAACTAATATGCAGAAGAAATCCTTGATTATCAGTAGTAAAATTAAAATACGTGTAAGCTCTGTTAGTTATTGTGAACATTATGAACCTCAGCAAGTATAAAATCACCCTTGCCAAGATAAGTCTAATATGAATTTTAAGTACAACATTGCTTTTGTAGATCTGAGAGGAAAACCCACTGACTTGTATTAAAATTGGTGGGGAATATATTTGTCACACAGTTTTGAATCCACAAGGTAATTAATCCATACTGTATCACTCTTTCTGAAATAGCTTCTAAAACAACTTCACTTTAAAGGTTTATGTCACTGCAAGTAAATTAAAGCATGCCTGCCTACCAAATAATTTATTTTCTACACAAAGGGTTTTTTTTTTGAATGACTGATAACAAT